ATCAGCATGTGGACTCGAATGTTCAGAACGTGAAGCTCCCAACCCGGTACGAGCGAGCTTAATCATTTCCTCACTTTGCACTTCATTTCGAAGAAAGCACAAAAGTTTATTCAACGAACGCGCACTATCTTGCTGTGACGCAGTATCTTCCATCGAGCGGCTTCTTTCCCACGCACGAAGAACAGTCTCTGGTAAACAGGACTCAACAAGTGGCTCTAAAAATTCTGCGAATTTTTCCTTAGTTCTACCGAGGCTGTCCAGTGCCATAAGCTTGCTCTGAAGTAAATCATAAAGTTCAGCTAAATCTACTTTAATCCTATCAGTAGCATTTTTCATTACTATGGAAAGTAGATCCCGTACATAAATCTGAACCAAAAGTTCATCTCTCCCGAAGCGTTCTTTAAGTTGTGCGATCACCTTTGAATAGTTTTCTTTAGTTGGCGGAAAACTGGTTACGAGTCTTGTCGCTTTAGAATCTGCTACCACACATTGTAAAAGATATTGAAATTTATCTTCATCGACAATGGAGAGGTAGTTGTGAATTTTCTCAAACTGGGACCAAAAAGCAAGAAAGAAGAAAGACTTTCGGTTCTCCACTAAATTTCCTCAATTCAAGTTTCGGAAGCTTGAATTTCCTTTTTTGCTCGGTTGTTGTTCCTTCTGTAACCGAATTTGCCTTCTTTGCATTTTCTAACGGCGAACAGACCAAGCAGAACTTGTCACGGTATTCTTCTGCTTTCAAAAAATCTTCAGAATATTCATCTTGAAGGGCATCATCACTCAGCAACAAATTCGAAACTTCTTCTTGAGTTGTGTCCAAACGTGTTTATTTGTCTTGAATCTGCCGAAACATCGTACTGACTTCGTCACTTTTTAAACTTTTGTTTTCGATCTTCTGAGCTATATCGTTGCAGCATACCGTAAAAGCTGTTCTCAGCGACTTTCGTTTTGCTTTCAAAACTTTTATATAAATATTTAATCAAAAATATAAAGTAGCGGACGCCAAATTTACTATGTTGCAACTCACAGGGCTACAACGTGTAGGTTACAAATTAAATAATCACAGCAGGGATTATTAAAATAAAGATTTAATATGGATATCTCACACAAGCTGAAAACGTTACATTACCCTATTAAGTGCATACATATAACTGAGTGAAAAGGGAATTTCCCCGCTTAGTTCGCAATTAAAGGGGAAAAAAGAATAATAAAAAATAGTCCAATCAGATGCGGCGCTCCTTCTGTGGACTTTCGCCGAACCGTTATGTAATCGTCTGTCTGCAGCCGCCGTCTCCAACAATAGACTTTGGATCGTCTATATTACGCTGTGTATCATGCCGTGGTGCATTTTATATTGTCTTAAACATGGGGAAATCCATGACGTAGATATATAGAAGACTGGAGCAAGAATTGAATCCTATGGGTCCCCAGCTTGGATATTAGTAGTTACAGAGTAGTGCTTATCCTGCTTCTACTGAAATTCTTTTAGTAAGAAATGAGCGAATGAAAAAAACAAGCTCCCTCCTAAGATCGAGCTTGGTAAGCTTAAAATGAATGAATTAAACCCGCATGCCAAATGCGATCAAAGTGTTTTGCCAATTCTAACATAAGAAAAACAGTGTTTTGATACTTGTGTACCAGCGTTCACAAATTCCATATCCCGCACAACAATGGTAACACTTTATGTAACTCAAAGTGCTGCTCCCATCCTCTTATAGACGTTCTCAAGAACTTTAACGAGGAACAGAAGCTGCCTAATGGGTCTGAAACTTTCAGGCTTTAAGTTGTTGTAACTTACACATACGAGCACTTTAAAAAATATAACATTTAGGTGCTATGATTCAAGGCGGCTTCAGTTTTTCAGGCATTGTAACTTTTTCTTTTTATATATTTTGCACCTTTGATGCCAAATGGTTCGAGAAAAACTGCGACACTTTTTTTTAATGGAGGTGTGACTTTTTTTTAGTATTATTTATTTTCTTTAAGGGAGAAATTGCCTTAAAGAGAAGTAACGCACGAGTATAACAGTCTAACCCAAAACAGCTACACAGCACTCTCGCAACCAGACACTCATTCCACCCAACCCACAACAACAAATTAACAGCTCGCAAACACCAGATACAAGACTTCCCCAATATAGCACACCTACACCAATTATGGTTAAGCCGATAGATGGCGCCACACACAACCAGTACATCAAGAAACTCACTACACTGACTAATGCTACATTTTACGCCAAAATAAGTGGAGAATACCTCAAGTTACTACCATCAACAACAGATGATCACAGACAACTCACCACAGACTTACAAAAACATAACATCGAACATTATATCATTACACCCAAGCACAAACGCCCAATTAAAGTAGTTATCCGAGGCTTACCCATTACCACTGACACACATGAAATTTCCACGGAACTCACACACCTCGGATACAATGTACACAAAGTAGTACAACTCACAAGATTCAAAACCAAACAACCCATGCCACTATTTCAGATACAACTCATGCCAACACCAAACATCGACAAAATCTACAGTGAAACACACCTAGGTATGTTCATTATCACAATCGAAAAATACATCAACAAAAACATTACACCACAATGCCACAACTGCCAACGTTTTAATCACTCATCAGACAATTGTTTCTTCTTCTACCTAGGTGTGTTAAATGTGCACAACAACATAAAACAACAGACTGCCCAACACAAGGTAAATTAGATAACCCCACATGCGCAAATTGCCAAAAAAATCATCCAGCTTCATACCGCGGTTGCGAGAAATTCCCCAAAAACAGAAACCTAAATAAATCACCAAATCACACTTTTACACCCAAGCAATAGCACCCCAAATACCTACACACAAGGCAGAACATATGCACAAGTTACTTCCAACAATACACAAGACATTAGAAATCAGACTACCAACACTACATCTAACGCGAACATTTTCACCGACATTCTCTCTACACTAAAAGAACTCAATAATATTTTCGGCTACAATAACATATTTAAATTCTTTTCTACTCTCAAAAATAACTTACACCAATTAAAAGCAGCAGATACACCCATGGAGAAACTATTAATTCTATTTACTATATGCGAGGAAGCTAACATCTTTAACTAAATAATAATTAAAAAAAAAAAAAAAAAAACTCTTAAATTATATCTCTGATCTGTGAACATAATACACTTGCTTGCATGAGACCCCTCAGCTCTATTTCCAAATTCCAACTTTTTCTCCCATTGGACACTTTCACCCACATGACCTGAAGATTTCAAGATCTCTCCGCCCATCGACGCCGCCTGCTCCCTATACCTCAGCGCAGCGACTTTCAACCCTAGGAGTTAGCCTCTGAATACTTCTCCCCAAGTGCAGGTATCTTCAAATCATCTTTCAACTGGACTATCATTGCTTACCATCCACATTGCTTATCGACATGCCATCATCACTCTGCCGAACAACACTTATGCCATAATGTTCGAAAAGTGACGCAACTTCGATCGGGATAGGACCCTTCCGTCCAGGCGCCCTTGAAAGGAACCTGCGGTTCAGGATTAGGTTGAGTTTGGCATGAGGTATTGCTGTTGATTAGAGAAATTGTTCTTTCTGTCTACGGCGTTGCTTTATTCCTGCGATTTTGTGAAGTAAGGGAAAACGACATTGCTCTCACTACTGAAGCTGATCCTGAGTTGCTGTCGTCTCTTCTTGATGTTCACGATAAGTATGTTTTCTTTATTCTTTTCGCCATTAGGTTAAAAGTTAGGATTCATGCATATCATGGACAAGGAGGCGATCGAAAACCGTATCAAATCTGTGTGTGATCACAGAAATCTGGAAGTTACCTGCGATAACTTAGAAAAACTTAAGCAACTTATGCTTTCTGAGTTTCATGCTTATCAAAATTCATTTAATCCAAAAAATGCGACTGAAGTTCACTTAGCCCACGTCAATGCTATGGAAAAGGATATACAAATCTTAGAATTATACATTAATGAAATGAAACAAAAAGAAACCCTAAATAATCCAACAGAGGAAACAAATCAATCTGATATTACTGCTAGTCAAAAATCTAGAATCAAAAAGAAAACCACAATAGATAAAGAAGGATACATAACCCCTAGAAAAACTCATAAAAGAACTCTATCAAATTCCGAAATTGAAGAACCAGCTCAAAAAAATAAATTCGAGGAACTAAACCCTGAAGACAATATGGAAGCAGAGGAAGGTGAATTTATTACACCCAACAAAAAAGCAGGACACATTCCCCCTATAGTCTTAGCAGACTTCACGGGGGATTGGGATAAGATGAAAGAAGATTTTGAAGAACATTTAAACATAAAAAAATATCGTGGAAACCTAAGTGGAGGTACACTGACCATAAGAGTTTATGACTCAGACCACTACCGCACAGTTACTGAATACCTAACTAAACTACATATTCCTTTTCATACTTTTAAACTCAACAGTGAAAAGACTATCAAGGCAATAATTAAAAAACTTCCAAAAACAGCTAATATGGAACTAATCAAAAACGAAATTACTATTCCTCTGCAGTTAATATTCAAGAAAGATGAACTTTGCAAAGTTAGGACTTTATTTTTCATCGATGAATTCTTCGTTTTACTACTTATTTAACCAAGATTTTTACTTTTACTTTTTTATTTTTACTATTTCATATCGTGTGTTTTAAAATCAAAGTTCGTGGTAACACCAAGTGCTTACTCTCACTCATTAGCCCTAGTGAGCTCCATCGCAATGATTATATCGCAAGTTTAGAAGATTTTCAAGTGTTTCAAAAGTCATAGGACTCTTAAATTCACAAATAGATGTTGCTTTTACTATGTTCGAACTTTATTTATTTCCAAAAACTAGAAAAAACTTCATTTTTCGAACTCTGACTCCTCGACCAATCTAAATGCCGGACGCTGATCACATGTTTCCGTGGTTATACTCCGTGGTTGTGGTTATCTGTCCCAGCTTTGAGTCTGTCTGTCTGTACTTGTTTCTTTATTCCACTCTTTCTCTGTTGAAATGGCTGAAGTTTTAAAAGAAAGGCAATGTGAAACTCCTGGATGTGAAAATCCTGCTAAACTACGATGCCCTACTTGTATTAAATTAGGAATTGAAGGCTCATTTTTCTGTTCACAGGTATTATAATGAAATACCTACGATCAAATTTATTGATCGATGCTTAAATCACGTGCTGTTTTTGAATTTTGCAAAAAATACATTATGATAATAATAAATTATTTGTTTTATTTCCGGGCATTTGTGGTTTAAACTTTATATTCAATTATAATATTTGCTAATCTTTATAAATGTGAATCTGTGTTTTTGTTGAATTATTAAAATAAATTTCTCATAAACGGCTGTAATATTGTTAAATAAATATGAGAAATGTGTATACTTCTTAATTCATTTGACGTATTTCACCGCGTAACCAAAAAACTTCGCCTGTATATTTTGCCTAAAAGAATTTTGATCATACTATGTAAGTTTTAAGCATCATTTATTAGAAGGAGGCACAAAATAAAGTTATATAAATATGTATGCAAGTTCTTTACGGTAATTCAGGTGTTTTGATTGTAAATTACTTTAAAAATATTTTCTTGTCTCATTAGAAATATAAATAAAGATCTGATTTGAACCCTTGCAATCTTTCTAGAAGTTATAAATAATTTTACTTGTATTACTTATTCCTTTTCTGACTTGTATTTCGTTTAAGTGCCATTGTGAATCTTATCCAGTGTCTATTGGAAAATCACCGATGAAGACATTTTCTTCAGGGAAAAATAACCATTGTATTTTTGCCATAATAGCTTCACTGTCGTGTCTACTTTTAAATGTTCTATTGTATGTTTTAATGTCATTGTTTCTGGTATTTTAGTGAAATCAGAATTCTTTTGAAAGATCTGGGGGTGGATTGTATGGAAATTTAGTTAATTTCATAATAGCAGTACTTTAAACTGTTGAGGAGATAAATGAGTTCAGGGACATGCTTGCAGTCAATTATAGTAAATTGTTTATCAATAAGAAGCTTCATTAGAGAAAAAGGAGCAGTTTTATCAGAAGAAAAATTATTGTTTAATTATTTGCAAAATTTGATTCTCTTAGAGTGTAATTATATTTTTAGCTCATTTTCAAATTTATGCATTATATTTTAGGATTGTTTTAAAGGGAACTGGAATGAACACAAACAAATTCATAAAAAAGCAAGTATGTAAAACTTCCTTCTCTATATTTTAATTATGTTATTAAAAATATTTGTAATATTACTCCACACTAACTTCTTTATCTAAATGTAATTTCAAATAAATGTTTGCAAAGTAACCCGGTTAATCTTCAGATTATGGTAACTTGGCGAAAATTTGGCGACCAACCCTGCTACAGCAACCTGCTAGTTTTTTTTTGGACGCTATTTTGTTTTCACGAAGTAAAGGCATGTTTTTTTTTACTCAACATTTTTCCCCAACAATCTGCTAGCCAAATTACGCTTATGCTAGAATTTTTATGGAACAAAAGTGCTTAATCATGATGAAGATTAGGTGCGAAATTGGGAGAAAGAATCGCCCAATGCTTGCCGCGTTTCTAAGAATTGCACATACACGGTATCCATGTACAAGTCAACCTATTTTCACTTAAAAAAAATCCCAGAATTGCACAAAAAGGGCATTGCGCACACTCTTGACTTTATTCATGTACACTGCTAAAGTCCTAGCTAGTAACCTTTATTGCCTTACCAAAATGTCGCCAAACAACCTGTTACCATATTCCAAAGATTAGCCAAGTTATAGCATTATTTGCCATAGTCATAAATTTGTATTTAGTGATTTTCCAAGCTTTAATTTGTCTGTTAAATTGACAAAAAATATGCTCAGCATTTTAAGGAGCATTTATTTCAACACTATATGTATATTTTGTAATTAATTTCTTTTTTTCTTTTTCTTTTTTTTGCAGAGGTGATAAAAAAACCATACAATCCATGGCCTGATTATACATTTAGTGGGAAACTTAGACCATATCCTGTTGTAAGTGAATTGATTTTATATAAATATATATTTTTTCCCTCTGAAAAATATGGGAATATTTCTGTGAATGTTTCTTTTAGGTGTAGGCATTTTTTATGATGGATGGTGGTGGTAGAGGAGTAAAACTATTTAAAAATGTTTATGATTTAAATTTTAATATTAATACATTTATTTTCTGAAGTTACTTGACAAAAATATTTTCTTTTTTGCTAGACCCCAAAAAGGGAAGTACCCGATACAATACGACGTCCTGATTATGCAGATCACCCTCAAGGTATTGTTCTTCAAAAATAAGTTTTTGTTTTTGTGTATTTTAGAATATCTTTTTGTGTTTAAAAGTAATTTGTGAATTTCTGATTGCAGTAATGCACAAGCATACAGTAGAGCTTCTTTGTTTGCATGAAATGTATTCTAAAATAAAACCATAAATAATATATGTAATTATTATATATCACCTAATCAGTGAACAAGTAAGTAATAATAAAGTGTGTTGTACTCTATGCAAAATGAAGCCTCGGTTCATGAATTTAATTTCTTCCTGAAAGCTGTTCGTTAGCTGAAATATTCATAAATCTAAATGATTTGTAAGCAATTAATGTAAAATAAATTAATTCATTCCTGTCCCACAGATGATTGCTTATTTAAACTTTACAACAGTACTTTATGCACAAGTTCATAACCCCAAATCAGTAGAAATCATCAAATATAAAACAAAAAATATGAGGAAAATATTAAGCAATGATGTGTTACTACTATGATGTCTAAAAATACCATCCTCCAGTTGTATTAAAATAAAAGATAGTGGTTAGTGACACTGACTGGTGCAGGATCAAATCCCGAAGAGGGCATAAATATTTGGAACTACTCTGATATGCGCCCTCAAGGCGCCAAATTTCTCGCCTAAATTTTTGGCGAGAAACTCCACGCTGCCATATTGATATCTAAACTTTTTGTCTACATTTCGAACTTTAAGCCTAAAATGTCTCCAAAAACACGGTTTTCGCGAATGCAAAACCACGTTTTGAACACACAATTTAAGCTAAAAATCCGAAACAAAAACAAAAAATTTAGATAGCAAAACCATGAAGTTTCTAACCAAAATTATTTGACAAGAGTCCATGTACACAGCGATATGTTTTAACTTAAAAAAACATCTACGAATGGCACAATCTAGGCAACGAACGAATTTACGAACTACGCATACCTCGCTTTAATAAATTAACATAACAACAATAAATTTCAAAGAATACCATGTTCACAGTGTTCTGTTTCAACTTTAAAAAACATCTGCGAATTGCAGAATTTAGATGGTACGCACTAATCAACAAAATAACTAAAATAAATTTCAAACAATTCAAAAAAACAACAAATAATGACAGAAATTCATACTAAAAAAACAATGAACATAACATTCTACAAAATAAGAACAAGAATAAAATTAAATCCACTTACCATTAACGCTTTTTCGAACAGCAGAAATACCAATTTCATACTGCCTTTAACATGCCGCCACGTAATCACTATCATGTTTATATGACAGCCAGACACACTATCCAGAAAATTCATACTGTGGTTCACAAATAAATAAAATAACAAATAATCGCAAATCCCTACTTCTATCACGCACAGCCACTAAAAATAATCTCCCATACCTTCTTTCCACACCTCCAAATACCCATTGCCCCTCAACAGGATGGCCACGACGATATTTCCTTATGCCGAACTTCAATTGAACAACTTTCACCATTAAATCTTTCCCCCCTAGCTTCTCAGACACAAAGCATGACGGGAACCAACGAAATCCAGCGAAAGACTTTTCAACGCCAACAGGGTTGCCATACAACACGCAATCGCCCCCAAAACCAGCGCAGAACACATATTGCCACATTTGGTGAAATTAGGGCATATATCAGAGTTGTACCAAATATTTACAAGTGTATTTTGTCTGTTGGCAAAAGGACATTTAAAATACACAGGGAATCCAAAGTAATCTCGAGAGGTTGGATGTAGGGAAAGAGGTTAGAGGCTCTCAAACCCCTCCCCCCCCTGTAGGAGTTCTCTGTTGGAATGAAAGCTTAATGGTTAGCTAGATACAGCAGTACCTTAATCATCTGTGGTAAGGGAGCAGTGCTGTACTACTGTCTGCCTGCCATCTGATGTATGTTAGGTGAATGAATGTGTTGTAATAATAATGCTGTTCTTTACATTCTTTGTCACTCGCTAGTGCCAGTTTTGATGCTTTAGAAAGTGATTTAAGGAATTAACAGTATTTTGACATAATTATGCAAGCTAAGACAATTTGGATTTGGCATCTGACATCTGCAATGAATCATGATTGTCCAAAAATTAACATTAGGCCACCTGTACATCACACCTACACAGCATTTTGTTTGGAATCGGAGATCACATAGGCTCAGTGGTCCCTTTGTTATATAGTTCAAGTGTCATTTGGTGATAAGGTTGGATTCTGACTTTCAGTCATTATCCCATTCCCAGTCCAGCGCAGCAATGGCACACGAACCAAACAGTGCACAGATAATCAGGAAGTTGAATTTTTTTTTTTTTTTTTACTTTTCAAAATAATTAAATAAAAATCCTTTAGTATTTTTTTTTAATGTTTAAAGGTTTGTACCTTTGTTTCATGAATTATAAATAAGCTAATGGTATTAATTCAGAAGTCAAACAACCGAAATCAGTGTTATATTTTCAAATTTTCACAAGACTAGTTTCGATGGTTTTACCGAACCACCACCCTCAGCTGCAAAAGCGCAAATGACTTTTGTTGTGTGACTTCTGAATTAATATTTGTTCGGCGTGTTATTGTGTCTTAAGCTAATGGTATAATAATAATGCTATGTTAATAATGCTGGCTTCACACAAACATTGCGGGGAGGGCATTTCCTGTTTCATGGAAAAATCCAAGAAAGTATGTCTGGGAAGTGCAAAAATGGTCAAAGAAAATGTAAAAGTTTTTTTAAAAATGAGCAAAAAGAAAATCGTAAGAATTACTGAAGTTTTTATTTTATTGCAGAAAGTATTCTACCCACCTAATACCTGATATAATTTTGTAAAACCATAGTTCTCTGCCTCATTTCTAGTCATTGGTTACTATACAGTTCTCAATTCTTATGAATTGGCCTATCTCCCTTAAAAGTTTGTCAGTACAATTTTGAGACATCCTGTATATGTTTTAATTTGGAAATTGTGTCATGTGCTCTTTTTCCCTTTTTTTAATGATATATTCAATACTTAAGGTATCTCATTATGCGAAACTACTCTCAAGGGAACAACAAGCATTAAGATTTTAGATAAAGAAGAAATAGAAGGCGTAAAACTAGCATCAAAAGTAAGTTTATATTTTGCCTTATGTGCTGTAGCAATTTTATGTTTGATGGATTTTTTTTAATATTTTTTTTTAGTCTGTTATATTGATTTACAATCTGTTTTCCAGTTTTAATAACAGAATTACTCTTTAGCTTAAATGAGTGTCAGATAATCAAGTATATATGTATGTATATGCATATAAAGAAAGAGAAAACAGCATATAAAATTTCAAAGCTTGGTGCTTTTGTATTATCACAACCACTTTAGTTGACGCCTCCAAACTCTGGTAACCAGGTGCATAACAGCTCTTAAAGTAACCATATCCATTGTAAAGTTCAAACTAAAAATTCACCAAATCACCTTTATTTCTGTAAAAAATCACGAAACTGCAGTGAGGTATTTGCACCAATATGTAAGTATAAAAAATTCAACCATTTATTTTCTGCTAAAGCCTGTAATAAAATAACACAGAAAAAAAAAAAAAAAAAAAAAAAATTACCCCCGAGAAACTCGAAAATTTTTTTTTGTTGCTTCGTAAAGCGTGTTTGTATTATAGTGCACATAAAAAAAAAAAAAAAAAAAAGGCTACATTTAAACAAACCATACTGCACAACAAACATAGAGAAAAATAAAGTTATGATTGGTCCAAACACAAATAATCTGTGTTCATTAGCATGAGTGACATTTACAGATGATATTTTCTTCTTTTGTTTTCTGAGTAGTAATCTCAGTTGAAAAAATTTTATGTACACTGTTTTGAAGATGACATTCCTGGTTTATAGAATAATAAAATTTAAAGAAAGTTGTTAATTAGGTTGATATGAATGCTGATTGTTTCCTCTTTTGCCATATTTAATTTTTGCATATTAATCAATATCCGACAGTATTTTAAATGCAATATTATTAATATTGGTATCAATATATTTACAGATACCCCTTGGTGAAAATTGGTGATTTTTGGCAGTACATGGATACCAAGTTTGCACAATTCTCTGGCTTGTGTAGCAGCAAATCACCACTACGCAAGGCCAAAATAACAGGACAAAGAATTGCACAAACTCGGTATCCCTGTACACATCGACCTATTTTCACTTAAAAAAAATCAGAGAATTGCACAAACTAGGCATTGTGCACTCTTGGCAATAAATGAAACAACAACTTTGTGCTAATACAAGGGGTACCTCTTCTTCTTCTCTTCATCTTTACTGCTTATATAAATATTAATGGTTTTACTCTAACCATTAATACTTATATAAGCAGTAAATAACAAAATTTTATTTATTTATGAGTAACCAATAATAAAATGTGTAAAAAAATACGTAGTTTTCTTTCTTTCTCGCATATATGACTAAGAATATTACCACAGGTAAAATTTTTTTTTTTCTTTTTTCCTCTATAATGCATTTATTTAATAACCTTTCTAAGTTAAAAAAAATTATATTGCTTTATGCTTTTACCCTATATAATGAGGAAAAATTAATAAAGAAAGAATATCGCCCCCTTTGAATACAGGAAAAGATGCCACATTTTATCAGGTTAAATACAGAGAAAGATCAGATTTGTTATAGAATATGATTCTTTTGGATTTCTAACTCTAACAGAAGTAACATCTGAAATAGTTTTTTTTTTTTTTTTTTTTTTTATATATATATATATATATATATACTTGCGTCTTTTGTAAAGTGATAAGCTAATAACAATTTAAGTATGTTGTTTTTCAGTAGTATAATGGTATATCAGAAATAGAATAATAATGTAGGCTGTTGTTATATAATAGTATTGTAAAATAGATATGTTGTATAATAGCATTGTAAAACATTTTCTTAAAAGATAGATTATATTATGACATAATAAATTAAAAATTAGTAGGAGAAAGACACTGAGCAATTTTTATTATTATTGCATTTCAGAAGCTATTTAAATTCAACACATAAGACCAATGATAAATGATTAGCTATTCAATTAAAGTAGGTGAGGTACATTTGCTTTAGGAAGAATACTTTTGAGGAGCAATTTCTAGGCAAATTAATTCTTATTTACATTACCTATATGGAAAAGTCAACCATTGTACTAAGAACCAAACATCAAGTTAGCTTTCAATTATTTTTTCCACTGCACTATACTTGGGCCCCTGTAATTGAGATCAGAAAATTTTTCGTCAATTATAATAACTTTAATTTTATACTGAAGAATAAAATTATTTTGCAATATTGCTGTGGAAGTGTATTTTATGGTTTGAGTACATAGAACATTATATTTAATAAATAAGGTAACACACGAAACATTAAAAAATGCCACCATTTTGGACGTAATTTAAAATCTGAAACCTTTTAGATTTGTTTATTTATTTTTTTAAACTCAATTTTAAAAATTTGAATCTCTTCTTGCCACAAATTCCACCAGACTGAAAGAAAAAAAAGCTCTTTTGTAAGTAAATTTGTTGATTGTTTTTAGGATAAGTGCCTACTAAAATGTAAAATATGCCTATAATAATATGTTTGTATGTAAAAAAATAATTTTTTCCATGAAATTTCCAATCTCCTTAAAAGTGGATCTACTAATACATAATACCAATTTTTTAATACATCTATTGTTATAACATTTAGCTTTTTATTTTCATTACACTTTTCCATATTGTTTCAAAAAATTGAAATTTAGATATTTTTTGTTTAATGAGGTGCTAATTAGTGCTAAATATTACTTTTTGATGTGACTGTAATAATATATATATATAGCTCCATAAAAAGAATAACTACTTAAAAAAATACAAAATTGATTTTATTACATTCATTTCAGATACACAAGAGGCATAAATCTGTGAATTTGGTTTAACATTCCTGAAAACATTTGTGCTTTCTCAAAACACTCTAGACCTAAATAAAAATCAAAGTACAGTGCCCAATATTGCAATGATGTTTTATTCTGCCATTTTTACCAGCAAATTTTACAACTGATATTGATTTTTTCCTTTACCCCTACTTTTCCAAAAAGGGCACACTTAACAAATAACACTGAAAAATTTGAAAAATTTCAGATTAAAAGCTATTGGATTGATGTTCATTCTTATTACTTGTTTGCAATGACATCATTGCATAGCTACATGAATTGTAAAATTAGCAGATTACCTCATTAACTCGACAATATCAAAGCTTTTATTGTTATGTAGTGGATTGAAATGTTTCAATATCCTATGTATATCATATTTTAGTTGGCCCGGGAAGTATTAGACACTGTAGCAAATGCTGTAGCTGTTGGAGTGACAACAGATGAACTTGATCGCATTGTGCATGAAGTAAATATGCATTTATTTTGAATTAATGAATTTCATTCATTAGTAATGCTTTTATCAGGGGTGATTGTGTTTCAGGTATCGCTGACTCTTCAAATTTTTTACTTGCTCGTCCAATTTGTTTTCAAATTTCCAAATTTGAAATGTACCCAAGTTATCTTTCTCAAAAGTTAAGTCTCAAAAGTTTCTTAGTTATATTTGTTTTTTCACAGATTACATAACTAAAAACTTTTAGTCTATATAAAATCAGTGAGAGTTTAACTTCTTGATAAAGCAAACTCAGTTTTCTCAATGTGACCTTTATGACCAGTTTTCTCTCAAAACGTTTGTGAAATAATGCAGTGAAGTGCAAATCAGTTTATAATAAATTTAAAAAATTGTACTTTTTGCTTCACTAATTGTCTGAAAAAATGTGTGTTTGCATGCATATATGTGTATCACATTAACGATCTTAATCATTTGATATTATATCAGATTTTTAACTCCATGGTACATTTCTTAAAATGGGATCATAATCACCCCTGTTATGTATATATAACTTCAACCAATTTTCTTGAATTTAGTTCATTGTGTAAATTGCCATATATGAAAGATGTGATATTTAATTATTCATCATTATATTTTGAGTTGATATTTTGTACTTGTCTTAGTTTCTTTTTCTGAACTCCCCTTTTTAACCTTTTGCTGATCTCTACTATACAGGTAAGAGAGGTTATACTTTTGGTAAAAAAATTTGGTAGTGAGTTTAGAATGATTTTTTACTTCATGATAATTACTGTCTGTCCATGATAGTGAGTATTGTGATAGTTTTTTCATCCATGATAACTCTTATAGTACTACTACTACTTACTATAGAAAAGTTCAGTTTCTGATAATTATCCTTTCTGCATTCATATAAAGAGTTGATTAAATTTTGGGTAAAATTTAATGCTCAAAAGTGGTTGTTTACTTGAAGCTCATAAAAGCTTGTTTACACTAGTGCACGTTAACCCCAAGAAGCACATGACTCTGCTAATGGAAACAAAAAGGTATTTATTGCATTTACTTCCTGCACGTCTTTCTCTCTATATAAGTAAGGTAGGTAACATACACTGTCATCCAAAAGTTAAGGAGCAGCATGTTTTTTGAGTCTAATTTGAGAATGAAGCAACATAACTAGGAATTTAGAGGATTTGTTCACATCACAGTATTTTGAGGAAAAATGTGGTAGTAATATTATAAAAATTTGCTCTAGTAAGGAATATGTTCATCCTTAGCTGCAGTACATTGGGGGGGGGCAGTGATGTTGCATGCTGTTAATTAAATTGTCAGTCAGTAAAATGGGAAGCCACAATCAGACACAGAGTAATCCTTGTTCAAGTTCGTCTAACAACCTTGGAGGACTTAAAGCAGCAGCCTGTCTCTGAAGGTAGTCCCAAAGATGCTCTATCAGATTCAGGTCTGAGGATTGAGCTGGGCTTTCCATCCGCTCCATATCTTGGCCCTCAAGATCTTCTTCAGCAACCTAAGCTCGGTGCTGTTATGCTTTGTTGTCCATCAGAGGAATTCCAAGACAAATAGCAGTGGCATATGGGTGGACATATTAATCAAGGATCTGGTCTCGATATCTCACACTGGCTAAAGTTTCTCCATAGAACACATGCAGGTCAGTGTGACCACCGAGAGAGATCCTAGCCTAAAACCTTATTCTACCATTTCTGTAGCTGTGTCTTTACACAATGTGGGATTGTTTGTATCTGGTGCATGGTTTCCTGCAGATCAACTGACAACCTCAGTCCCTCTCCATTGTGAACCTGAATTCGTCTGCGAAAAGAACAGGCTCTCATTGTTGGCCGGTCCAGGAGACGTGTTCTCTTTCCCAACATAAATGAGCACCTCTGTGTACTCAAGTCAAGAGGATACAAACAACTGGTTGTCTTGTATACAGACCTTATTGAGCAGGCGTTTGCCAACTGTAGTCCTGTTGCTACTAAATGATCTGCCATGAACTGAGGCACAGTAATTTTTTTTGCTCCTTCGAGCTGAAAGAGCTGAATAATGGTCTCCCGCAGGTGTTGTAACTCTTGGTTTTTTTCTTTAAAAAACTTTCTTTTCTGGACACATCCATGGATTCAGATTGATTCCATAGTCGGTGGACCACATTACAGAGACATTTAGATGTTTAGCAGCATCAGCTTGTGATATCCCCATTTCCAGCCATCAAATCGCCCGCCACCTCAATCAGTTGGGCAAATGACTTCTCCATGATACTGATACTCTCCTGGAAGTTGCCAACAAAATTGCTAATAACAACTAATGATCAACACTATTGAACGGAACTTACAGTTTTTGTATTTTTTCTCTAACTCCCATAAAGTATTCATTTCTGTAAAATAAAAGTGGCAGCGATTGTTTTTGCATATACTTTCTTAAACTTCATTACTGTCAGGATTATAAACTGGAAATTTAAATCTCGCTGATGTTTTTGTAGTGCTGAGCTATGAAAAACATGCTGTTCTGTAATTTTTGGAAGGCAGTGTGTGTATAAACACCACTCAACAGAATGATGGCTAGTGTCTTCCATACTGTAGGGCCCGGCTTTAAATCTTAGAGAAAGCATGGGAATCGCAAATGTCATAATGTGTTTGCAGCATGGTGACATTCTAAATGTATGGCAAGCCAAAAGTCCTTTAATGTGGTTTGTTGGTAGGGCGGGCCGGAAGCCAAATATATGGCGAGCCGAAAGTTCTCTCGTGTGGTTTGTTTGAAGGGGAAAGGGGCGGTAGACCCTCAAGCCGCCACCCTGGATAGCTCTCCCTCAAAATAGGGGTGGATGTAGAAGTCTAATCTCCTTGAGGTTCTAGCAACCATTCTTCCATGAAATTTATGGGGACAGCAACAACAATGCAGAGACAACTAATAATGGGAAAGCCTTCGACAAAAAAAAAAAAAAAAAAAAAAAAAATTCATGACGTCAGCAAATGTTTAGGCGCCATGCTGACCATTTCTTGAGATATCAGTGGCCTGAAAAACATTATCAAATGTTAGTTTTTGATATAGTGACAGGATGTTAAATAAGTTGAAGTCGAAAGTACATTTTAAATCCTAAGAACTTCTGCAATGGAATTTTGTCACTTGACAAGAATGTCTGCTTTCAGCTTTATAAGAATGTCTGCTTTCAGCTTTATAAGAATGTCTGCTTTCAGCTTTTCACTTGACAAGAATGACTGCTTTCAGGTTTATAAGGTGTTTAAATGTCCTCAATAGAATTTGTAAATCTCGCAATCAGGCTTTTTTGCACTTTTGAAAGAACATTAGTGCAGTAAGAATTTCATAGATGCTAATAATGTAATGGAGGCAATAAAAATTCTTTAAAAAGAGTGCCAGAAGTTGCCAGATGTGGTTGGATGGAATAAGCATATTGTGAAGAAGGAAGACTGAGTTGAAAACAGTTTCTTTAAATGCTTTTGTAAAAAAGGTGTAAAATTTATGATATTTAGTAACTTTTTGATTTGTTTTTCAATTTCTTGGTTATGTGTTTTATAATTACAAATATAATCTCTGAATATACTGAATTATATATATATATAATATTCAGTATATATATATATATATATATATATATATATAGAGTTATTTAAAAAAATCTCTTTATTTTAGGCTTGCATAGATCGAGATTGTTATCCTTCACCCTTGAATTATTATTGTTTTCCTAAATCTTGCTGCACGTAAGTATCTTCAGTTATAACTAGCATGTTATGACTATAGAACTATGAAAGTGGCAACTGTATTTTTTATCTTCTTTCTATAAAAAAATTAATAATAAAACCATTTTCATTACTTCAAAAGTGATTTTTTCTTTACAAAAGATGAACTTCCAGTGAAGTGTAACCATGTTAACTATTTTAAGATCTGTGAATGAAGTTATCTGCCATGGGATACCAGATTTGAGACCATTGGAAGATGGAGACTTATTAAATAGTGGGTGCTTCTCTTCTGTTTCTAGATTTATTGTTAAAAATTATATTTTGAGCGATTAGTTAAAATATTGTGTTTTCTTTCCTGCGTGTATAAGCATAAAAGTGCTTGCTAGCATTTTGTAAATTAAATGAAATGGAATTATAATAACAGTTTGAAAAAACAGATGTTAAACTAGCAAGATAGCTCAAAATATGAAAGATAAATAAGTACCTTTCAGCATTTTCTCAGAAAATTTTATGTTAATTCCAGTGTAATGCCCAAAAAAGTTTTATCTGAATAGTTATGAATAAGTTAAGAATTAATCCCGTAGAAAATCAGAATATGGGATATGAAACTGAATTCTTAAAGCGAGCTGTTAAAAATAGCAGTTTTAATTTGTAATAAAAATTTGGTATTTTATCATTTCTTCTTAAATTATCAGCACAGTGAGAGTAATTTAATAAAGACAAGATTAATTATTCAAAATGTAATTATGCAAGACTTAAAACAAGTGTTTTTTTTTTTTTTTTTTTTTTTTTTTCAAACCAGGACATCAGTACCACTAACTGAAAATGCTTCATTCTTCAGAAGAAATTTCCTTCTAAGTATTTAATGAATAAAAAAAAAAAAAAAAAAAACACTTAAAAAAATTTTAATACTTAGATATTAGCTGATTCCTCTAGACCAACCATCTACTGATACCCTTTGGTGGTAAAATAAATCTTCAACAACAGAAGTTTACTCAAACAATTTTTTCCCCTCTATTTCTCTCTCCAGTTGCTTTCAAAATTCTGTGCAATGTTGTCTGCCCCTATATGAATTGTGTTAAATGGAAGGAAAATGATCTCTCTTGATCGAATTCCATTTTTATTTTAACACTTTCATGGTTTTTGTTGATATTATTACATTTTGATCGTATACCTTCCATCATGTACAGTATCATTACATAAGACTTTGAACTCGCAGATTTTTTGGAAAATGCCACATGGTTGGGAAAAAATGGATTTCTTCTATTTAATATCTTTAGCTAGTCTAATAATGACATGATATAAAATGCAATAAAAGTTAACATGAAATACACAAATGTTGTCCTGAGAACTTTCCATAAAAATATGCACTTGCTCCGATTGGTCTAAAATCGAAGTTGCAGTAAAAAAGGAATTTGCACTCCCCCCCCAAAAAAAACCTATTTTGAGAAGAATCTGGAACAATTTTTAATGCTTGCCAAGGGTAGAGATTATATTTTTGGCAGGTGCCAGGTAATGCACAAATATCACAATTTTTTAAAATAAAAAATGGTGGAAAATTTTAGTATTTCCCTTCTGTTTAAAAGTAATATCTAATGTTGCAGCCTCCTAACTAATATTTTTCTGTTGAATAAGATTAAAATGTGATTCAGAAACACTACGATTTCATTTGTTCAATTTCTTATTTAAGCATGAAGTGTTGTAAACAGGTTAAAAAAATATTGCTGTTGGAAGAAAATTAAAATAAAGAATGTATGCGTGCATATGTACGTAAAAGTCTTATGCCTATGTATCAGTGTAAAGTTTCATTTTAGTTGTTATATTTCATTTTTGATTTAGATAATAAGTATAAAAGAACTAGAGTTAGAAATTTTGCAGTTAGTATATTACGTAGTGTGGAATAATTTTATTTGAAGATAAATGAAAGATCCTATGAATTGCCAGTTGGCAATGTAAGAATTTAGTTTTATTCGGTTTTGAGGGCCGTAAAAAATCGCCAAACTATTGTTGATGCCAGTGCTGCCAAAAATAATTGGGGCAACCCTAACGCAAGAAAGGAAGTATAACAGTAAATAATTATCTATGATTGATGTTTTAATTTAGATGAAAGGTTAATTTCATATAATACCTTTTTATTATTATAATTTATATATAAAAGGCTAAACATGACTGAATGGAAGCATAAGAGTAAATAACTATTTAGATCATTATAATTTAGTGTATAAAAATTGCTAAACATAACTGAATGGATGCCTGCATCGCTATTTTGCTACCGAGTTATCGCTAAAGCATAATGTCATCTCGTTGGTTGTTCAAACATAATTTTCTATAATGAATGATACCTTTTCTTTGAAAACATTCTCGGTAAAGTGCAGGAATCGCCCACTTATTTGTTTGCCGCTTTTTACAAGGGTAAAAACAATTGGATTTTTGTCAATTTTCTTTTACTTTTTAAGTGAAAATAGGTCGATGTGTACATAAGATAGAGTCAAGGGTGTGCGCAGTACCATTTTTGTACAATTCTGGGATTTTTTTTTTCTTTTTTTAAGTGAAAATAAGTTGATGTGTACGTGGATACCGAGTATGTGCAGGTCTTAAAAACACATCAAGCAGTGGGTGATTCTGCACTTTACCCAAAATTTTATTGCCGAGTTTTCGTCATGGGCAATTCCCAAATTGTTAAATCCATAGGATATCAAAAAAGGATTTAAAAATTAAACTAGTATGTCAATGGCGTCTTAAGAAATATAGAACTATATAAACTTACGCAATCTGAAATCAGTGCGTACGCTAGATTTGGCACACTGTTAAATGGGCGCATTTGCTAGATTTGGCGCTTTTGCATGTACATTTTCGTTGCAATTTTTTTATGGCCCTCAAAACAGAATAGTACCAAAAATTTTAGCACAAAATGAAAAGTTATACTTCTTTGAGGCATTAATAAATCAGTATAGAAATATTTTGAGATTCTTTATGCATCTTTCAGCCTGTCAGTATTAAGATGAGACAGAATTTAACGTTTTATTTGTAAAATTAAAAAAACTCCTCCAATTATTAAAATCTGTATTGTTGATAATGTTTTATTATCTCAAGTTTAAAATTGATTGCTTTATCATTTATATAAATATTGCAGTCTTTAAATATAATATGTTGTAGGTCTGATAAGAGCAAAAAGTTTTTTAAATATAGAATTTGATGAAGGAAAATAAATAAGCTTGTAGTACTGCAACATTTAATTATGCTGTAGACATATTGCAGCTTATTTATCATCAGTTTATCTTTTGGCATGTCTTTTCTAGCCCTGTTATAAGCACTTGTCTAAAATATGTATGATGATTTATATTTTTAAAAAATTGTTGTTTTTATATTCTAGTTGACATTACAGTCTACCATCGTGGATTTCATGGTGATTTGAATGAAACATTTTTGGTGGGAAATGTTGATGAAGCTGGCAAAAAGTTAGTTCGTGTAACGTATGAATCTCTAATGAAAGCTATTGAGATAGGTATGTAATGTTTTAAAATGTTAGGTATGTAATGTTTTAAAATGTTGCTTTGCATGTTTTGGTATGCTTTTATATTAAAATTCACTTATCGTGCTTTTATATTAAAATTGTTTAGCATTTGTAACAGATATGTCGTATGTTTTGGTTTGTTATAGTTAAACCTGGTGAGAAGTATAGAGAAATTGGAAATGTGATACAGAAATATGTTCAAGCTCATGGATTTTCTGTTGTCAGAAGTTATTGTGGGCACGGAATCCATAGGTAAACTGATTAAATATTTTATGCGAGTTTATTGGCTTGCTTTTTGTTTCAATAAATATGTGCATGTGGTTAAAATGCTTTAACCCTTTGTTGCGTACCAATAATTTAGAGAAGTTAAACGAAAATGTTTGTATTTTTTCTACTTAACCTTAGTAATAATAAAAAAATAATAATTTTATTCAAATTTTGTTTTAAATAATTGTTATAGTTTGTTCACTACAGTGGACCGCATGCATATACGTACATGCATACAAATCTCTTCCCAAAGATTTACGGTCATTGCATTTGAAATCATTTCCTGCCCTGTTTGCAGTGATCACTACCATCTTCTAAATGGTAAATCTACAACTGACATGTACATACAGATCCCCTGAAATACCTTCATTTCGTCGATTACGATTGAATTCATTTTGCTACGATTTTGTATTGGCTTGATAAGCAGTCCATTTGGGTTTCAATTTACTCTTTTCGGATGTGTAATGTGTATACAAGCCAGTTTCCCTTAGAAAGTCCTCCCCTTAGGCAGATAGCCCTAGAGTGCTTTGCCATAATTAAATAAACCAAAACCAAACCAATCACTCTTTTCAGTATATTTTTGTCTACCCACTTCACAATTTTCTCAAACTGACATTTAAAATAAAATGTCTAAAATTACTAATTATGAATAAAAAATGACAGTATAAAAAATTGTAGGCAATATTATACATTGTTTACTATGAGAAATTGTACTAACTTGGAAACAGAAGTTGCAGACAGCCATCTATGATCAACATTTGAAATTTCTAATAATATAGAATGAATAAACACATGAATTGAATCTGTTAAGGCATTTACAAACAAATTTAAACTTTTATCTACTAGAGTGGACATGATGCAACAAAGGGTTAAAGAAGGAAAAAAATCTTATTGGGGATATATTTGAATACTGCAGCTTTTTCAAATAAAAACAAACAATTGATGACATAAAATCAGGTATTATTTGTTTTAGAATGCTTAGAACCTTAGCAATAAAGCTCAAGTGATGCACCTGAAAGCTTAAAATTAAAACATATGAAATGGCTTAAAGGAGAAATTAATTTCAAAAGCTAAACTAACCCAAAGGAACTTTTCCTCAAAAGATGCTGTTATTACCTTATATTATTATTGTTGATGATAATAGCTAATGGGTTTAGATGAACGTTTTGTTCATTTACTGTTCTTGTTCATTAATCGCAATTCCAATAACAAGATTAATAAAAAATCTGTAAGTAAAGGCTGCTATTTTACAAAGGCGTATGTTGCAGTGAGAATAGTTTGACTCGGCAGCTGTTCAAAAAGGCTACAAATTAAAATTTGTAGAGAAATTTTTGAATTAAAATGTTTAATTTCTGAAGTTAATTTAACTTGGAAACTCATGATGAGCACTAAAATTGCACCAAAATGTTATTTTTCATTTGCTGTAATTCATGAAAATGACAGTCTATAAAAAATTTTTAAATATCAATTTCATACTGAAGTCACCATGAACGACTCCTTAATCATTAAGGTCTGAAATCAGTTAATGGCAGTCTTATAAACTTCGAAATAGGGTTTCTGTTAAAAACTTAGACGTAGAATAAGGTGTCTATTAACTTCACACTAGTTTTGTCTTTAATAATGCTGCCTTAAATTTCTGTGGTGCTCTTACAATGTTTGAATTGAATGATGCTTTATAATTTAAAGTAAGTTTGAATTCCAGATGGTGTATATTGTTTTTCTTTAGCTTTACTTAATTTGCTGTTCATTCAGATATTTTCTGCATATTATAGCATATATTTTCTTATCAGGTGTTTCTTTTAAAATCCAGTAAAAAAAAATGTTCAGCTCCTTTCACATACATAGTATTTTTGGTTGGTTGCCAAAGGTAATCATAATACTAAATCAAAATTAAAATAGTGATAATAGTATTTAAATCATGCATTTATTTTCAATACTATTTTACAGTTCTATTTTGTAAAATGTAAACAGGTATTTGAAATTGATGTAGCTTTTTTCTTTTCCACCCAATCCTGTAGGTTATTTCACACTACACCAAGTGTTCCACATTATGCCAGTAAGTATTATTACATTATGCTAGATTAAAATTTAGAAGAAGTTTAATTGATTTGTAGTTAAATATGCACTCATACATTTAATTTTCCTTGCAGAAAATAAAGCAATAGGAGTAATGAAGCCTGGACATTGCTTTACAATAGAGCCTATGATTTCTGAAGGTATTTAAAGTATAGTTTTATTTGAGAGAAAATATATGGGCCATTTTTTTAAACTTTTAAATTTTTTTAAATGTCATTATAATAATAATTTTAAAACTTAAACACTGATCTGTGTACAGTTTTAAAACAACAATGATATAATTACTCATATTATTATTCATTATTTTGATGAATTCAAAGTAATAGCTTGTATTTCATATTATAATATATTCAAATTATAAACAATTAATAAAGAATTCTTGCTTTTATTATAGCTAATTCAACTACCATCACTTCCAGCTCTAAATTTTATGCATTATCTTTTTTTTATTCTAAAGTGTTTTCTAGCTCATAAATTTATTGCTCTTAGCATCAGCTGTGTGAAGAGTATTATTTAATGTTACAAGAGTCACTTAATATTTTTAAGCAAGTCTTTTAACTCGGGTGTTTTATTATTTGAGGTGAACTCGTTCATATTTGATGTTTTTATACATTTACTTTTCTGGTGTACATAAACTCATAAATTTTGCTTTGGCCACATCCTGCTTATCTGTTGGGCTTGCCCCCTAATTATTTATTATTTTTTTCTTTTACTGGCGGCAGAGCTTGTATGGCCGCACCGGGCAAGGGCAAAATTTTTGGAATAAAGACCAATGCTTGATCTGAGTGACAGATTTTAGGGGAGAATTTTTTAGGGGCAAAATCTTTAGAATTTAGAGAAGCACCGAGCGACAAAATAAAGGGATGGCAAAATCTTTAGAATTTAGGGAAGGCACTGGGTGTAAAATTTAAGATTGGCAAAAATTTTAGAATTCAGGGAGGTGCTTGTCAGCAGAATTTCAAACCCGTAGAGACTTGCATTGGGCCACAAAATGTCTAGTGCCGGCCATTGAATGATAGAACTTTGTAACTGAAAAGAGATTATGTATATCTGTATAATTAAAGAGAATGTATTAACAAAAATATAAGCTATTTAAATAACTTGTATTGAAAGAAGTGTTTTAGAAAGCAAACAAAATTTTTATGAATTTTCTTTGCCTTAAGGTCATAAATGCTTTATAATTTCTACATATCATCTTATGAGATTTAAATTGATGATCTAAAATCTGGAAAATTTCTCAAATCCGGAATTGCCGGAAAGTCTGCTTCTCAGACTTTCTATTGTAGTTGCCTAGATTTTCAGAATGAAAATAAATTATCTTTCAATTTGTTATAAATTCAAAATGTGAAAATATTTTAAATTTTTCTGAAAGCTTCTTTTTTGTTATTTATGCTTTCTTTGCAGAACTAATGACAACATTTATCAGTTGTAAATTGTTAGCATTTAATGTATCAAACCAAGCAATAAATGACAAATAAATCTATAATTATAAATATTTTTAATTAAGTAATCAGCTACTTGTTTGAAAATCATGCTTTCTTTTCCACATCATCATTATTAAGTTATGAAAATATAATAAATAAAAGTATAATTTTTATAAATTTATGAAAATAGCAGTTCCATAATTTTTAAATTAATCTATTATATGATTTCACAGTTTTGAAGATAAGAATCCTAAAAGTTAAATGCTTATGTATGATGCTTCTGCTGTGGAATAGAATCATATAAGAGGAGAAGAGAAAAAATACATAAACTAAAATATAAATAAATCATATCAGACATAGGATAATAAGTACATATTTATTTGTTATCCTATGTCTGATAAGTATAAGATTGTTATGAAACTAATGTACATAGCGCATATTTTAATATTGCAGTCTATCTAGTCCTTCTAGCTTAAGATTAAGTTACATAAATACATTACAATAGTTTATAATATAACTCATTATTGCATATATTTGAAATTAATGGTTTACTGTTTAATGACTTATAGTGAATGTAAAAATTTCTCTTCATAGGCACATGGGTGGATGAAATGTGGCCAGATGAGTGGACAGCTGTAACTCGAGATGGCCAGAGATCAGCACAATTCGAACAGACGCTACTTGTCACAGAAACAGGTTGTGAGATCCTGACACGGCGTAGAGATCGAAATGGACAACCCTATTTTATGGATAACTTGTAATAAATTGAATTGTAATATTGAACAAGAAACGTTTATTACTTTTGAAAGATATTAATGAAGTGATTTTAAGTGCTCTAGATTTTGCTTTCATATGATCAAGACAAAGAAAATATAGGTATTAAGTATAAATTGGGAAATCTGCATTTCCTTTTTTTATGTTTAGTTAATTCCCAATTTTTGTAAGAGTTATTATTTGAGAAACAGCATTTCACTATAAGAAACATTTTACTGAATGAATTCAAGAAGTTTTAAAAATTTAATGTTGCATAACTGAGATAAAAAAAAGAATAATTTAAAAATGCTTTTTTAAATCTAGTATTTTAAATTATATTTAATCAATAATTTTAATGCAGAAGAACATGTTTAAAAATATTTATATCTGTTTCCATCCTGTTTTGTTATGAAAAAAGTGTACTCTAAGAATGAGCTTTTCATTTTAACGTTATTTAAATTCATATTTAACTAGTAATTTAAACAAGAAGATATTTAAAAATATTAACTTCTGTTTATATCTAAAATTTCATGTACAGTTATTCTTGTACAATAAAATTTTGCTTTACAGATTGTCATTGCTTATTTGCATAGTTAATTTTGTGCACATTCTTTAAACATTATTTTTTCTTTTGTTATTTTAACCTTTTACATGTTCATGTCTAGTTTTTCAAATTAATTCAGAAATGGGTTTTATTCAGTTTTTGATAGTATCGATCATAATCACATAGCAACAATAACCAGGAGTAATACTTTATATTCTTGAAGTTTCTTTTATAAATGGTATTCATTTTTTGATAGCTCTGCTAGTGCTGGAAATTAATTTTTTTTAAGTTCTGGATTTCTTAAAATATTTATTTTTTCATAACCTAAGTCGGGAACCAACCATATCTCGTATGTATCTTAATGGAGAAGAGATCAGTTTGTCATGAAAAAGCTGTCATTTTGTGTTGTAGGCGGATGGGCATTGTCACATTTAAAAATAGCCTTGGCAGACCACGGTATGCCATCGACAGTTGTAATGCGCAGGTTGACTAAAGGTTGGAAGAAATAATGTGAAATAGAACCTCACAAGGTAAGGCCAGGCATGATGGAAATATGTTGTATCACAGCGACTTGAGAGCAGTCTTTGACTGTGTGTCTCTGTACATAGATGTAGTGGTCCACCAGCCGAATGGAAAACCAAGGTGAATAGTTGAAAAAGATACTATGTGTTCTATATTCATCTGGCAGAGCAGTGACACCATAGCAAATATTGCCATAGAGCCACCATTATTAATGGCAGACATTGTAAGAGGTGCTGGCAATGCAGTACTCTCTTCGTTTAGTCCCCATTTATTGATCATCTCACTGCTTCATCCTCTGACGGCCTGATGATTTTGTGGTATGACCACCCTGCTTCTGGGAAGGCAGTGTTGTGTCTTGTCTAGAACTTAAGTACTAACGTATTACCTCATTGGGTAGGTCTCTGAGGCATTCATCTTAACTACAGCCAACTGCATTACGACTGAAACCGGTTTGATTAGTTTAGGTTAATTAATTAAGGCAGAGCATCTCGAAGACTATTTGTGTATGGAGAAAGATGTCTGGAAGACTTTTTGAGGGAAACCAAATAACTCCATTCTGCCGTAGTTTCTATGGAAATTCATTAAAAACTATAAGCTACGAAAAGCATGGAAAAAACTACGGATTTTACAGAAATAGGGTAAGAGAACCAGTACGCAAAAAGGAAGAAGCTAATTCATCTGATGATTGGCTGAATACTCGTGTCATCATATATGACGTGTTGAGTGTGTTGTGGGTTTTGTGTTGTGGGCCAATCATAGATCAGCGACTCCCACTAATCAGTTGTCAGTAATTCCCCGCACTCTCAGGTTTTTTGCTCCTGTATAGGGCTTGTTTAGCATATTATACCAAAGAAAAGGGACTGATGATTACTTCATTGATTTCTATTTGAGAATGCATGAATTATACTGGAGAAGGTATTTTTAATTGTATAAATGAAAACTTTATAAGAGATTTAGAATGGGAAAATTGCTTTTTCTTCAGATGATGCTAGTAATATGATGAAAAAATTTAAAGGTGTAACATTGTTTATCAAAATGCATCAACCAAATGTAACCATCCGAGGTTGTCTTGAATATAGCTACAAGAATAGCTACTGAAAAATTAATTGGCTCAGAAATCAAAATGTTAACAGTGCAAAGTCCAAAATCCGGACTCATTGGGACTTCGATGATTCCCAATTTGGGATTTTTCTGGATATTAGGTCATCAGTTTAAACCTAGTAAGATGTCATGTAGAAATTATAAAATTAAAAGTATGAAATTGTGATATATGAAATAATGAAGTATTTATGATGGGTATCAAAATTTACAAAAAAAGCTTAATATTTATTTGTTTACCTTATTAAACATTTCTTTCAATGTAAGTTGTTTAAGTTGCTTCGTTTTCTGTGCTAATACTTTCTTTTTAATTCTGTAGACAGACATAATCTCTTGTTTAGTTAGTTACATTGTTGAGGTCCTGTAACTGCCGTGTCGAGAATTCCGACTAACCTGTAAATTGGAATTTTTTCATTTTCAGTAACTTCTCTCACTTTCTTCACTATCAGTATTTTCTGGATTTAGAACCATACTACAGATTTCGCCATTCATTAATTGATTGATGATTGAGAAGTATTGTCATCACAATGAAAAACCTATATCATCTTCATTTATTACCGCTTCTCCACATCTCTTTACAAAATCCGATAATTGGAAAATTTCACCTTTGTTTTGTGATATCAGAAAACCTTTAAAATTAGCAGCTATCATCATCAAATTTAGCTATCCTTCACTATACATATTTTGCTATGGTGTTGGTGTATTTAATTACGGCAAAGCACACTAGGGGTATCTGCCAAAGGGGAGGGATGCTTTTCATGGAGGACTTTCTAAGGGAAACTGGCTCGTATACACGTTACACATGGGGAAAACCACGAAAACGCCCATGCAGCCAGCCCGTTCGCGGGATTCGAACCTCGGACCGAACTACCAGTGTTCAGCGACTTTACCGCTCGGCCGCTGGTGGGCCCCATATTTTGCTATGCATCATGATTTTGGCGACTAACAACGAGTTGTTCCATTAAATTTTATCTTGCTTCTATCGTGCACTGAGACAATTAAGCCTGAATTGTATTAGTACTTATTATACTTGTGTCTATTTCTTGCACATGCTTATCAGAGTTCTGAATAAATAAATTCACACATATACTTAAGGTGCTAGTGTACTATTCAGGCCTATTAAGGGCCGTCACTAGATATGTTACCGCTTGATGCAGTCTCTGTGGGTCCTAAATTCTGCAACTCGAGGCAGCCATACGAGTCCTGGCAACTGGTTCTGGGTCTATGCGAATAACAGATCAGTTATTCTTAATTCAAATAGCCCTAAATGTAATCTTTGGGTCTATGAGTATCATCGAGAAAATCTATTTTTAGTATATGGAAAAAAATTTTTGGTAAATTTTTCCTCATCAACATTTTTTAGGGCAACTGAAAGCTATAATCATCGCCAAGCATATTGTCAACATAAACGTTGACCAAATACTAACATAAAAATTGTCATGCAAATACTAACATAAAAAAATTTAGATATCTTTTCATGAGTCATTACTCAAGTTGTCATGTTTTGATAAACACGTGGTAATGAAAGGAAAGTATAATAAATAATGATTTGCCAGGTTGTTGTCAGATCAACAATGTATCTATGAGGAATGTTTCGGTTTGAGATGCGTGCCAAGCAAATATGCAGCAACGAAGCCAAATTACTGATCATACAAATTTATGCTAAAATGATTGTTTCTTCAATGACAAGGTTATTTATTTAGTGTCGAAATGAATTTTAAGAATCGGGACGCTCCAGATGGTTTATTATGCACGGAGGGGGGAATCAAATGTGCATGCGTAAATCCTACGAGAAAAATATTGTTCGTGGTTTTGAGGTGCAGATTTTAGAGCATTTCGGACTTCGTGCCGTATTTTTATTTGGAGAAAAGTTCGATAAATTTTCACCAGTAATCCATTTCTAAAACATGCTGAAGTTGCCGACATCAACTTGGGAACTGAAATTTAATTTTGATCTGTTGTTTTCTTGCTGACTACTTTCCATTCATTATTGATGAAAAATATCGTAATCAAGTAGAAATTGAGTTTTCTATGTATCAACTAGATGATTTGAAAGAAATTGTAGATTTGTGTATTGATATTTCGACCAAATTTAGGTTGAAGCAGTTTTAATTGAAAAAACAAACATGCAGGCAAATGAACTGTGTTACCAAAAAACATTCTCAAAATCAGAACTTAAGCTTGCTAGGCATGCTACGTATAAATCTTTGCATTCGTAATTTATAAATAAATTATAAGTATTTTTTTAATAGTTATATGCATTATTCTCAGTAATCTAATTTTTTTTTTAAATTTTATTTCCCTGCAGAAATCAAATCCAGAGTAAAGATATGTGATTTATGGATTCTGTTGTTTTTGTATGATTAGTAGTGATTTAAAATACTTTCTTCAACCATATATTAGTAGATTTAGTGATGTACATGCTTGAAGAGTTAAATGAAAATTTCTAATTAAATATGCATATAATTTGTGTAACATATTATTAATTATTCAGTTTTATATATATGAATTTTAAATGTATTGAAATTGATTACAATTAATGAATGGTTAATTAAAATATATGCCTTACGTGCACATTTTCAAACTTGCAAAAATGTCATTTGCACGTTGACTACTGACAAGTTTTGATGCAAGTGGGAGACTATGCTGCCAGTCTGTTCACTAGAGCTCAATTGGATGTTTGTGACTTTATTCTTCAAATTTGCACTGATACGTGAGCACTTTTTTGTCATACTGCTATCTGCTATTAAAACTATAGCATTTGTCAGTAATCTAAGATGATATCATGTTGGTGGTCTGATGAAAATAGTACAGGGTGTGGCAGAGAAACTACCTTATTTTAAAAATGAATAACACAAATAGTATAAGTGATATCAGTTTAATTTTTTCCAAGTTATAGAGAGACACTTAAAAGTTTTTTTATTACGGTTTAAAAATAGTATT